CTTACACATTTACATTTAATTCCTTCTGGGATAAATTTCTGCATATGGTATTGAGGTGGAGTGCCAAGGTCATTCATTCATAATGAAATTCAATTGACAATGTGTTGAAGAGTTGACCTCATTTTCATTGTCCTATAGTGAGACGTTTGTCACTAACCAGACAATAATATTGTCATTATCCAGACAATAATATCAGATCTCTTCCTGACCTTTATTGCATTCCATTGATCTATTTGTCTATGCAGTTAAATACCTTTCTATCTCAGTTAATTAGTTACTTTATAATAAGACTTGAAATTTGGTACTCTATCCCTTCAACTTCTTTCTTCTTCTTTTTTTTTTTGGAGACGTTTTTACCATAGGGCGCGTGCACTCGCCAGACAGACAGAGAAAGACACAGAGACAGAAAGCGAGAAATAACCCCCCAGGGAGGATGATCACACCACAATCCCTTCTCCTCCATTCTCCTCTTGGGATCTTGGGAATGCACGCACACGTGCCCAGCGTGAGTGTTAAGCCACCGGGTCCGGGAGGCAAACTGTGGTCGACTACGTGGGAGTCCAGCAACATAGCCATTACACTAACTGCTAGTTCCCAACTTCTTTCTTCTTCATCTAGTTCACCATAATTCCTTACTTTCTATTTCTTTATTTCTTTATTTTTTAATGAGAGAGAGCAAGGGAGCATAGAAGAAGGAGGAGGAAATGAGAACAAAAACATGTGCTTAGGACAGGGTCACACTGTGGTGATACTCTGCCAGAAATTTTCAGTTTAGAACCACAGGTATACGATGTCATGCCCAGCCTGTCCAGGTTGGTCTGGAATCCAAACCCGGGACTCCCGCATGGCCCAGCCTTGGACAGCAGTACACCCCCACCTACACCACTGCAGTGCGCTACCATGACTGTTTTGGATTCTCTGCATTTCCATATAAATTTTAGGAACATGTTATTTTCTACAAAAAAATATTTTCAGGATTTTAATTATAATAACTTAAGAGATTACTTTGGAGGAAACATATATTTTTAGAACTTCCTGATCCCTGACATGGTGTATTGCTCCATGTTTTCAGGGTTTTTTTATATGATTTGTCTCAGTACTATTTTGCAATTTTCTTTGTAGAAGTCTTCACATCTTTGATTAGAATTATTTTTAATTGGGCCAGCAGGTGGCGTAGTGGTTAAGGGTGTTGGACTCCCACATCGCCAACTGCAGTACAAGTCTTGGATCTAGCACCTTGCTTTCTCACTTTCTCGCTCTCTCTCTTATTCTGTCCCTCTCTGGTCAAATACAAATAAATAAATAAGGTTAAAAATAAAATAATTCTTTAAAAAAAGAATTATTTTTAATGAAAGGGTATTCATAGATGGTAATGTAAATAGTATTTTTTTTTATTTATGGGTGCTATGTAAAGTTAGTTTTGTTTTGATTTTATCTTATATAAATATTCACTTATTAAGGTTTTTTTTTCTAATTTTTGCTAGAGGGTGCACGTGCTCATTTGAGAGAGATAATGAGAGAGAAGGAAAGCAAGAAAGCCCTCCCATGTGGGATGGTCATGCCAACATCCCTTCTCCATTTCTTCCTCCTTTCCGGGCTTTAGACATGTACACACATGTACCTGACGTGTTTTCCAACCCACCGGATCCAAGACTTGAATTGTACAGTTGGCCATGTAGGATTCAGCTACCTTAACCACCATACTGTAGGCTGGCCTGTCATCTATTCTAAAAGCTTACAAGTTCTTAAATTTTTTCTGTCTGCACAATATTATCTGCAAATAATAAAAATGTATTACTTTTTTTTTTCCAAATCTTAAGCACTTTTATTTTTTTCTTGCCTTGTGGCAATGACTAAAACTTCCAGAATAATACTGAGCAGAATGTGATACAGTGAGTTCCATGTAACTGACCACAGGTGAGAGTCTTGGACCCAGTGGCTTGAGAAACATGTTGAATGCATGTGTGTGCATGCCCCAAACCTCAAAAGGTGGGAGAGAGAGGAGAAGGATTCTGTGACCATGCCCCTTGGAGGGCGCTTTCTCACTTTCTCTGTCTCTCCCCAATGAGGGCATGCACCCTCTGACAAATTAAAAGAAAAAAAGTGATACAATGAGCCTCAATGTTCCATGCCCAATCTCTGAGAAAAACTTCTATTATTTCTTTTCAAATACATTTTAATTATTGAAAATACCTGCATAGTGGAAAAAAAGTGATAAAACTCCCCTGAAAAATCTATTAGCATATTACTGAAATTAACTGTATGTTGAAAAAAATGGGTAGGATAATATCTTTGATTAAGCTAATATTCAGTGTATTCTGGATGGGAAAATTCATTTCATATGCTGTAATGATACACCCTGCATGAATGTAAAATAAAAATACATAAAATGAAATGATTTACATAAGATAAATACAAAGTATAGTTCTATAATTGCTTTTTTCCCATAGCATAGTTTATGGATTTCTCTACCTACCACTACTTACTGAACTTTTAGGTCTTTCTTTGAACATTTATCCTGTTATTAATTTATTATTAATTTAAAAATATTTTGATAAATAAAGTGTAACTATTTTTGCATGTTTGTCTATAAACTGATATCCTTTAGTTGATTTTGGTAATTTATACTTTTATCAAACCATTTCATTCAGAGTTTAAAAGGTAGTACTATGAATTTGATAAATATGCCAGGTGCAGACCTAAATGATACTTTTGAAGGTATCACTGAGTAGACAAACAACTGACAAGATTTATTAAGATAAAACACAGGAGGTACAAATAATTGATATTTGGAATGGAAAGAGAGTATAGCTATGAAGCAGAGATTATTTTTTAGAAAAACAGAGACTAACAGATTACATTATATTGAGGTATTGAAAAATCTTTCAGACAAAAGAAAAAATGTATAATTCATTTAGCAAGGCTAAAATACCCTTTTATTAAAGGATAAAGATAAATTAAGAGCTCAACTCAATAATTCATCTCATTTCTATACTAGGAAAAATAACACTATGATTGTTTTAATAGGCATACAAAAATAACTTAATAGAATTTAGTACATTTTTAGAACCAACAGCATAATAGAATAAAAACAAACTAGTGCTTACAGAGCAAGTATGTAGGGCTTTTTCTTACATGCTAATAAAAAAGTAACGCAAGTTCTCAAGTACAATGTCCCGTGCAGTCAGTAAGAAAAGAGCTGAACTACACGTTATGAAAATGGGAAACGTCAGGTAACTCAGAGTCCTCAGTCACACAAGCATTGGCCCGTGATGTAGGCTCTAAGCAGTTAGTTACAAGAGAGAGCAACTTGGCAATTTCTCTTTCTAATGTCTAACCTAGAACAACCGCTGGATTGTGCACCAGGATCCCCATTACAGTGTGATTTGCCATCATTAAAAAGAAGAAACTAGCCTTTCGTAGAGGCCTGGAAAAAGAAAAGCACATATTCATGTTTCTGAAGTAAACGAACAACATCCTGTGTTTTTCAGTGTAGTAAAGTCTCACATGACACCGAATGTAAAAGCAAATTGAAAATGACACAAGCACATATAGACCAAAATGATACGTGTTATGTAATTATTGCTAAACACACAAAGTAGTACTCTACATTGAGCAAGGATACAGTCACCACAGCTTTATGACGGGGATACCTTCTGAGAAATACGCGGTTGTGTGAATGACATAGATGTTCTTACTCAAACCTCCATGAGTAACACCCCTAGGCTATTGGGATGAGACCGCCATAGGAGACCACTGTCATGTACATGGTCCGTTGTCGCCTGAAGCATTTTTGTGTGGTGTCTGATTATACACACATGTGGAAAATATCAAACTATAAATGGGATCAGTATATTGCAAAACCAGAGTATGTGATGAGAGGAAGAACAAATAAGTGGGAGGAGGGAAGGGAAAGTATGGCTTGAAGGTTTTATTTTAAAAAAGATCTTGTGCAAATAGGGCAAAGAGGTAACACTGATGACTGTACTTTGCCCTATAGTCAATACTTTGTATGGAAAGCTGAAAGAATATACTACATGTTTTACACTATATTGAGGGCGAAATAAACGTTTCCTCTGAATGTGTACTATATGCCAACCAAAGGTATCAAAATGTGGGCACCATTTATTGTATATCATCTGTTAGGATTTTGTCATCCTTCTAATTAGCAAAAACGGTATCTGAAAAATTATACACTGACATAGTCAGGATATACAGATTTTTTTGTTTGTATTTTAGATAAATATTTATATTGATGTGAACTGTCTAAGCAACACTACATTAACTGCTCCTGGCTCTGAATGGGAGCTTCCTGAGTCACAGAGATTTTTAAATTGCTCTAGAAAATGTATATCGCTCTGATAAACATGTGTTAAATTGGTATAAAGAAGGGAGTTTATATTATGCATCTGTCTTTGTGCTGGTATTTTAAATAATATACTTTTCTGGAAATAAAATCTATAGAAATAATTTCAACAAAAGAGCAGACTATTCAGATACAAGTAGAAAATATACACCTAGTATAAACATTCTTTTTGTCTTTACTTTCCTCCTCGGGTAGGTGCTACCACCTAGTGGGCATTTCAAGAACAACATCGATGTGTGTTAAAAACTGACTTGGATTAGCTTCAAACAAAGCTATGTCAAACTCATCTTTGGTTTGTGTGCCCTGGAAAGCTTTGGATTATAAAAATATCTAGCAGTCCCCATAAGAATTGCTTTATCCTTAAGTGGCTAGCTTAGTATATACCTCAGCTATCACCCTTCACCCGTAGCAGACTAAAGTAGTCTGTGCTATATTCTGCTTTGCCCAAGTGAATTAATTTCAATGAGCCTCAATTCCCTCCTCCATAATGATCAGCAAGTACTGAGGCACATTCTGGTGGGGTGTGTAAGAGTGAGCTGAGCTCCTCTGTGTAACAACTTGGTGTTGAGAACACACTCCATGAATGAGCAGCATTATTGCCATTAAGCAGACCAGCTGTCATCTCTCTTTACAGCCTTCATTTCATTGTCTTTGACACTGAGATGGCTCATGACATCCTCAAGGTCTGGGATGGTCCGGTGGACAGCAACATCCTCCTGAAGGAGTGGAGTGGCTCCGCCCTCCCTGAGGATATCCACAGCACCTTCAACTCCCTCACCCTGCAGTTCGACAGCGACTTCTTCATCAGCAAGTCTGGCTTCTCCATCCAGTTCTCAAGTAGGTGAAACGTCTTCCTTTTCCTCATCTTGACATCAACTGCTTGCTGTGCACATAGAGTGCCATTTATGTTCGTAAACCTTCCTTTCCCTGGACGTGAGTTTCCCTGAGAGCAATTTGAAGTTTGAAAAATTCTCTTGTAAGGGGATCTTTTCTCACCCATTGCAGAACTCATGGCTTCTTCCTTTTCCTCATCTTGACATCAAATGCTTGCTGTGCACATAGAGTGCCATTTATATTCGTAAACCTTCATTTCCCTGGACGTGAGTTTCCCTGAGAGCAATTTGAAGTTTGAAAAATTCTCTTGTAAGGGGATCTTTTCTCACCCATTGCAGAACTCATGGCTGAAGCCTCCATAACAAAAGATAGATGAATTGGAAAGATGCATAATCAAAATTATTTAAGTGCTGAGTCACACAGGAAGCTTCAAAACCAAAAACGTGAAACCATGTATTTTCACGGCTAGTCAAATGACTAGAGGGCAGAGGGGTATGATCTACTGGGAGGAAATCAGCAAGATCGGCTTGTTCAGGTCCTTCTCTGATTCATTCCTTTCCTCTGGGTATAGAGAAGTCCCCTCTCATGTCCCTGTTTCAGAGGGAAGTCAGATAATTCTGTCATGCCCTGCTCAGGGGAGAAAGGGGAAGGGCATGTCAGAGAGACCAAAGAGCACGACTGCTAGAGCAACCATATGGTAAGAGTGAGCTTCTATTTCTTCTCTGCTGTTTCTTCTGATGTTGAGGGGCCATCTTTTGGAGTAACAAGGGTAGAACCCCAACATTATCAATAGAATGCCTTGTTTTAGGAAATTCCGTTCATTATATAATAGGGATAAATAGTGAATCTACTTAGTTACATGGGAAAAAAATTACTTTAATGGTTTTAGTTCATCAGCAGATATTTAAATTTAATTCTGGGACAGATGTAGATCTCTACATGAATCTAAGATTTATCTTTGGGCACTCTCAAACCTGGCACCTAACACAGGATCCCTGAGTACTCTACTTTAGCCATTTGGGCAATAAAGTTTCAAGAGTGCTGATCAGATATGCTTTGATTCTCTGTGGAAGAATCTTATATTTTATCCCTCCTTTGGGAACAGATTCAAGTAGCTCATATAAAATAGTAACCTCTGCTGAATTACTTGTGGGAAGCCACATTTGCGCGCTTGAACAATTATCTAGCGAAGATAGTTCTCGTCTTTGCTCTCTAGCTCATTTTTAATGAATGATTTCCTAAGAAGGAAGGAGTGGAGATATTTTGTGGCAGCTCAACCTTTTAGTACCCTTCAAATGGCACCATGTAGAGATGCTGTGTAATTCGGTAGCACACAAGGTCAGTCATCGTCATAAAACAAGTGGAATTTGCACATAAACACATTCAGACTCAATTTATCTCTTGGCAGGTCACTGGTGAGCCATATTTAGGATTTACATAAGAAAATTGACTTAGGTCAACTTAATGCTTTAAAAGGTTGCTAATAAAATTGAGGTTATAGTCTGTACAATCACTTACCTCTGGTTTCACTGTGCTTTGAGGCAGTAATTTGCAAACATGTGCCTATGGCATAGTGTCTATACGGGATACGATTTTCACTGGTCTTTTGCAAAAACTTCAAGGTAAGTTTGCTTGAGCTGCCCTGCCTGGGGGGAAGATGTCCTTTGTGCTAAGACTATGTTGCTTTTTGTTGTGTAGAAAATAGTCCTTTATTTTCTGAAATGGTGGTGAGACTAGATAGTAGATTCATGATTTATTGGCTTTAATTAGAAAAATAAAAAATGTGGTACAGTTATGAAATTATGTTCATTTTCCTCTCCCTCCTATTCTACACTCTCTTGCTTTATTCTGTTTGGTTCTGTTTTGTTTCGATGGACATTATTTTGGAAAGTAGGTTTAGGTTCACAGCAAAATTTAGCAGAAGAACTTACCATCAAATTGAGAGAAAGATATGCCATATCTGTGTCTTTACTACCCCCACATTGGCACAGCCTCCTTCGCTATCAAACCCTCTACCATAGAGGAAGGTTGAAATAACCGACACAGGCATGTTATTATTGACCAGTTGATAACATGAAGTCTTTAGTTTACATTAGGGCTTACACTTGGTGTCATACAGGCTATGACTGTGTTTGGACCAACGAATGATGGCAGGTATTCCAATCCATGGTAGCACACACAGAATAGTTTCACTGTCCTAAAAATTCTCTGTTACCCCCTTGTTCACCCATTCCTCCCTTCTAATCCCTGAAGCCACTGTTCTTTGTCTTTGCCAGAATGTCACATTGTGTAGCTTTTTCATGTTAGCTTCTTTCACTTAAGAATATGAACTTAAGCATCCTCCATGTTTGTTTGTGGCTTGGTGACATTTCTTTTTGGTGCTGAAGACTATCCGACTGTCAGGACATGCCACAGTTTGTTTATCCATTGACATTCTAAAGCACATCTTGGCTGCTTCTAAGTTTTGGCCATTGTGAATTAAGCTGTGATAGACGTGTAGGTTTTTGTGTGGACATTAAGTTTTCAGTTCATCCGAATAAATGTCAGAAAGCATGATTTCTGGATCATGTGGTAAGAACATGCTTAATTTTATTCATAGCCTTGTAAAGGTTTTTACTTTATAAAAAAAAAATTATGGGGGCCAACAGATGGCATAACAGTTATGTCACTGGACTCCCACATGGTTAGCCACAGTTCAAGTCCTGGACCTGGTGACTTGAAACTCACACCAGGTGTATGTGTGCGTGTTCCCAAAATCCCGAGAGGAGAATGGAGGAGAAGGGATTGCAGTGTGGTCATGCCCTCTAGGGGGTGATTTCTCACTTCCCCTCTCACTCTGTCTGACTTTCTCTCTCTCTAGACGGCACACATGGCCTATGGCAAAAATCTCTAAGAAAAAAAAATTCTTGTGAAAACTCAGAAATCGTTTCTTTGGCTACATTCTGTCATAACTCTCTTGATGTCATAATTTGACAAAATAAATACTTTTTTATAATTATTTGAGTATCGTATACATACTTCTCCCCCCAAAATTAATTAATGCATCACTGTTTACAACATAATAAATATGGTCATACCCATAAAAGTTACCCCAGAAATGAAACTTTATTACATCTTTGCTTAGTTTTCTATGTATACATTTTTTTGAGAGGTTTTTGCCATAGGGTGCGTGCACTCACCAGACAGAGAGAGACAGAGAGACAGAAAGTGAGAAATCACCCCCAGGGGGGATGGCCACGCCGCAATCCCTTCTCCTCCACTCTCCTCTCAGGATCTTG